TACTACTACTACTACTACTACTACTACTACTACTCATCTGCATCACCACAACAAGCACCATGATCACCATCGGCATCGTCATCATCACAGTCATCATCGTGGTCATCGCCACCACAGCCACTAACACAATCATCACCATCATCGTCGTCGCGGGCGACTTCAGCGTCATCATCATCATCATCATCATCATGATCGTCATCAGCATCATCAGCACAGTCAGCATCATCATAATCATCATCAATCATCACCAACAGCATCATGATCATTCATCCTTACCACCACCACCATCATCATCATCGTCATCATCACCATCACTACCAGCATCATCATCAACGTCAACATCACCAGAATCGTCATCATCAGTAGCATCAACATCAGCATCAGCTCCTGCATCACCATCATCAACATCACTATCATCATCAGCATCATCAGCATCGTCATCATCATCTTGCTCCCTCTTCATGCTCTCCACCCCTTCGCACCCCCTAGCCATTCATCATAATCCTCCTCCTCCGTCTCCTCCTCCTCCTCCCCCGCCTCCTTCTCCTTTTCCTCTTCCTCCCCATCCTCCTCATCCTCCTCCTCCACCTTCTCCTCCTCCTCCTTCTCCTCATCCTCATCCTCTTCCTCCTCCTCCTCCTCCTCCTCCTCCTCCTCCTCCGCCTCCTCCTCCTCCTCCTCCTCCTCCTCCTCCTCCTCCTCCTCCCCTACCTCCTCCCCCACCTCCTCCTCCCTTTCCTCCCCTGCTTACGTTTCGTTATCCTCGCGCTCCTCACCCCTCGTCGGCCTCTTCCTCGTCCCCCTTGCGGCCCAGGCCCCCTCCTGGGTCTCCGGCAGGTCCGCGCCCTGGCTCTCTGGCTGCCCATCGGCGGCCCAAAAGCTGAGCCCCTTGACCACGGCAGAGCTGCTGCCGGGGTGCCCCTGGCGCGGCGAAGCAGCGGACAGGGAGGAGGAAAGGATGCCAAAATGGACGAGGGCAAAAGAGGAGAAGGAACGTGCTTTGAAACGTTGTCTGATAATATAACGACGCGCGGGAGAGAGGAAGGGAAAATGAAAGGCGAGCGGCCGAACCACCCACCACACCCCGTGCCTGCTCAGAAAAGCAAGCACGCCTAACTCATTCGGCCGCTCCGAACGGAGGGCACGGAGGGAGCGTCCAAGGCGGGTGGGTGGCGGTGCAAAAAAAAAAAAAAACAAGAGAAGTGAAGGAGAGGGAGCAGGAGGAGGACGACGATGATGAGGAAGCAGAAGAAGAGGGCTGGGGAGAAGGAAGGGGGGGAGGGGGATCAGGAGGAGCGGCAAGGGACGGGGAGGCGGAGGAGCAAGATGAGCAGGAGGAACAAGACAAATCGAGACGAGGGGGCAGCTCGATGTCGGCCGACTCCGACTGGTAACCTCGCCACCCCCACGTGAGCGTTTTCTTATTCGGCGTTTCGACATCGGGCGGAAGGGAGGATGGGGGCAGGGGGGTGTCCGGCTCTGGACCTCTGCTTAGCGTGAAGGTTTGCAACAGGGCGTCCATTGTGGGGGAGACTCCACCTGCTCGAAACAGGCGCCAAAAACAGCCGAGATCCACTCCATGGAGAGAGGGGGTGCGAGGGCCCGCGCCGATCGGCAACACTCTGAATAAGAGAGCGATCACCACCCAGCCCAGCGGGGCCACGCAGCCCGAGTGCGTTTCCTGGCGGGGGTGCTTCTACCGGGGGAGCTGACAGAACCACGGTTCGCGTGCACGCGCCCCCTCCCCCCCCCGCCGAACTCTGGGGCCTTAGGGTAGCCTTCGGGCGGGCCGGTGACTCTAGTCACCAATGAGGAGGCAGGGGAGACGGTGTCCCCCGGGGCCGTAGGCGACCCGAGGAGGAGGAGGAGGAGGAGGAGGAGGAGGAGGAGGAGGAGGAGGAGAAGGATGAGGAGGAGGAGGAGGTGGAGGTGGTGGAGGAGGAGGAGGAGGAGGAGGAGGGAGGAGGAGGAGGAGGAGGAGGAGGAGGAGGAGGGGCCACCTAAGTCCTTCGGAGAAACCCTCCAGGCAGGGGAGACGTGTGCAATCCTTATTCCGCCCTGCGCCTCTGTCTGGCTGTTCCCGAAGCTCACGGTGCCAACAGACTCGCTGCGACATCGCGACGCGCACCGGCACAGCACGCGGGGGTGGAGTCCTGTCAGAATCATGCAATCTGTGCTTGTCGTCCTTCCACGCGATATGACGTCTACCGCCTGCTGCCTGCTCTGTAAGACGGCTCATTGCGGCGGGCGTTTGCCACCGCCCTGCACCGAAAGGCAGCTGGCGACAGACGGAATTCGCGCCGAGTGGTCACAGCAAAAGGGTTCCTGTCAAGCGCTCGGCATTACCAAAGAGCGCTCTCGGAGAAAACGCTCTGCAGCAAATCGAGCGAGTGAGCCCTGACTCGCAGCACGCATCACAACGACTCAAATGGACTGCGCGGCCCAAACGTCCTCGCAGTACCGGCCTTCGGCCATCATCTTCTCCACGCAATCGTCCCCCAAGCCTGCTTCTGTGAGCACGCGGGCGAAAGTGGCCTTCACATCGGGAGCCATCTTAGAGGCATCGCCGCAAATGTAGATATAACCGCCTCTCCTGGCGTGCTCCGCTACCAAGGCTGCCTCCTGCGAGATAATATCCTGCACGTACGTCTTCGGAGTACCCTGCTTCCGCGAAAACGCAACAAACAGCTTCAAACAACCCTCCTTCTCCCAGGCCTCCAGCTCGTTGCGGTATATGTAGTCGGACTCGTCCCGGCAGCCAAAGAAGAGCACGTTCTCAGACCTGCCATCTGCCACGCGGTCTTGAATGAAGCCACGCATCGGGGCCACACCGGTGCCTGGGCAAAATCTGTCAACATCGAATCGTGAAAACAGACTGGATCGGAACGCGCGTCGGGGAGCATCGGTACGGAGCCGAAATCCCACCAGCCCTCTGGGCGTCGGTGGTTTAGGGAGTTTTCTCTTCCACCCCTCCTTCTTCCCCTTCGGGGAGGGGTTTACCCCTCCCCCTACCCCCTCCCCATGGACCTGGACAAAGGGTTCCGCGAGGTGTCGGAGCGTCCAGAGCGGCCTCGGCGAGGAAGCAATTGGTTTGGGGGGGTAATTGAGGAACCACCCTTCGTTGACCGATATCATCCAAGATGGCCCCAAGAGAGCCCCTAAAGCTTCCAAGAACGCCCCGACAAGGCCCCCAGAGGAGCCCAGACGGGCCCAAGAGGCGCCCAGGAGGCCCCAAGAGGCCCCAGGATGGCCCAAAGATAGCCCCAAAATGGCCCCAAGAGACCCCCAAAAGACCCCCAAGAGGACCCCAAGCGGCCTCCCCGAGGCACCCAAGACGCCCAAGAGTCCTCAGGACCGCCAAAAGACCCCCGAGACGTCCCAAGAGGCTTCAAACCAACCGCCCACGAGATATCCCAAGGGGCTCCGAGAGGCATTCAAGAGACCTCCAAGAGACCCGAAGAGGCTCCACGAGGACCCCCGAAGCCCCCAAGATCCCCCCCCAGACGCTCCAAGAGGTTTCCAAAACAACCCCCAAGAGACATCCTAAGAGGATCATATGTCCGCCCTGTTTCCTCCTCCTCCTCCTTGTCCTTCTTTTTCTTCTCCTCCTCCTCCTCCTCCTCCTCCTCCTCCTCGCCCTTATCCGTCTACTCATCATCCGAGAACCAGCACCATCAGCAACAACAGCAGCAGCACTAGCAACAGCAACAGCAGCAGCAGTACCAGCAGGAGCAAGAGTACCAGCAATAACATTTGCAACCTTCGCCACAAAAGATCTCCCAATTCACCGTCGTTGCCCGCTCCGGTTCACTATGTGAGTCTCTTCTTCCCTTCTTCCGTCAGCTTTCCCGGGCATCGTTTCTGGATGGGCTGGTGGGGATACGCGAAGCGTCTAAAATCTACCAGATCGGCTGCGCCAGGATGTGCGCCATGCAGCCATCAGGCCGCACCGGATCGCAGACAACATGACATCGGATCGGATCGGGCCCCGCGACTCGAAGCCGCACTGGATCGGTCGGGTCGATACGCGCCCTGGCCTGGGCCCACCATGATCACCGGCACGTCGCCGGCTGGCAGCCGGAAGGAGGAGCCCGTGTCCTTCACGAAGGCCACCAGGGGCACGCCCAGCCCGGAGGGGCCCAGCGGCCGGCGGGGCATGACGGTGGGCGGGTAGGGCGTCTGGCCCGTCTGGGACCGGAGGCAGGTGGAGCACAGGCCTGCGGCGCCAGAGCGCGTCCGCGTCCACTGCCGCGGGGTCGTGTCCCGGGGACTCGGGGAGCGGTGGGTCTGCCCGCCGGTGCGGGCGTTCCAAGATGTCCACGTCCACCATCTGCAGTCAGGACTGAGAGTGAGGATGCGCGATCAGGATGCAAGGGCCTTGGCCGCCCATGCCGACGCTCTTCGAGCGGGGCTGGCCATCGAGAGGGGGTAAGGATGGACCAGGGAGGCAAGGATCCCAGGGCACCCCTGGGAAGGTTGCCCGTCCATGCTGTCGGTCTCGACTGCACCCCTCTTCGAGGTCCCAGGGCACGGCTCCAGTGCGGTGGGCGTGGGCACGTTGTGGCGGCGGAAGGCCGAGGTGGAGCCGCCCCGTGGGCGAGCGGCCCTGCACGACGCTCACAGAGATGGTCGCGGTCCTGGGCGAGACCTTCGGCGAGGACGAGATCGAGTAGTACCGCGGCTTCATCGGCGGCAGCATCCCGAGCACCACGCCCGCGGGGGCGTTGACGGACGGGTGCTCACGAAGGATCTCCAGGATCGTGCGCCTGTTGGCACGCCCGAGCTGGGCGCGGAGAGCAGAAGCACGGTGCCCAACAGCGAACGCTGTCCAAAACCGACGGCGGTCACTGTCTAGCAGGCGACCTTCAGCTCGGACGGACGGCGTCCGCGGCGACACCGAGAGCCCGTCCTGCTCTCGACGGGAGCAGGAACTGCCACTGGTCCTCGGGTCCCATTTCTAGGCCACCTTGACAGGGTCGGGGTCGACGGGGTCGGAGGATCGCGCCGCATCGCTGATACATCGGCGATGCGGCTCGATGCGAAGCCCGACTTTCGCCATGCCGATGTCGCCGATGCGTCGCCGACGCCGGCGATGCATCGCCGATGCGTCGCCGATGCGTCGCCGATACATCGGCAACAATGCATTGGCGATGCGGCGCGATCGTCTCGGTCGCGCCGGGCCTGGGCCGCAGCACGTGGCGCTCGTACTCGTCGGGGCACCCCTCCGGCAGCTCGCCGGTGTTGCCGCGCCCGTACTCCGCCAGCGCGCGCAGGTGCTCGGCCTCTGCGGCGTCGGCGGCCAGCTTCGCGAGGGCGTGCAGCTGGGGGCGGGAGGCGGGCTGCTGGAGCTCGAAGTGGCGGGCCAGCGCGACGAAGGCGCTCACCTGCCTGCCCAGCGGCACGGTCGACAGAGACTGGCCCTCCTCCAGCTCCAGGCGCACCACCGCGTCGTGCGCCAGGCCGAGCTGGTCCTGAGGGGTAGGGCAGAGTCATGGGGGGGGGGCCAGCTCGGAAAGTGGGGCATTGAGCCCTGGAATCGGCGATGCCTCGGATAGGTGGACGGTAAGCCTCCGACGGTGCTGGGCTGGGTGGGCTGTCGGGCCCCTCATCGGCGATGAACGGGCGATTGGGGGTCGATGCGTCCCCCCCTGAGCCTGCCCTCCCATGACGTTCTCTCTGAGGTCCATGTAGGCGAGGACAACGTCGTCCGGGTTGGCGCCCACGACGCCGAGGTGGTCGCCCGCCAGGTAGCTGGTTCCCTCTGGGAGCTCCACCTCTATGTGACGGGTGGAGCGCCCAGGTGCTGTCAGCAATTCGCGATTGCTCGTCACGTTCGCCAGGAAGGCGCGGTTGCCCGCGAGGAACGAGTTCAAGGCCCGCTGCTTTGACTCCTCTGGTGAAAGAAGACGGCATAAACATGAACTTGCGACGGTCCGCGCGGACCGTCGAAAATGCATGTTTATATCGTTATCCTTCGATCCTCGGCGTTGGCCCTCGCTACCTCGATCGGGATGTCATCCGCCGTGGCGCCCAGCTTCAGCAGCACCTCGTAGACGGGGGGCTTTGGGTACATGCTCTCCTTGATACTCTCGGGGATCTGGGCTCCGTGGGCGCGCATGAGCGCCACCGACGCAGAGACGAGCCAGCGGACGAAGCTGAACTCGGCCTCCCCGCCGTCCACGTCGCCCTCGCCGAGCGGTATCATCGACTCGGCGCCCAGGCTCTCGAGGCGCTCCTGCAGAGGGAAGAGCAACCTGCACTAAACGTTGACTTCCGAAGGTCCGCGCGGACCTCCGACGGCTTACTCCCCAAACAGTGTTTCCACTTGGGGGCTCTTACCCCATTTCTAAGGAACTGAGCCTTCCCGTCAGTCTGGCGGCTGTGTGGTCACCGTCGCCGCCCCGTCGCCGCCTCCTCGCCGCCCGTCGTCTGAGCTGGTCCGTCGTCTGGTGCTTGTGTGGTCACCGTCGCCGTCCCGTCGCCGCCCCGTCAAAACACGTCGTCCGGGCCTAGCCGTCGGTGGGGCGGCTATGTGGTCGCCGTCACCAGCCCTTTCGGGCTCAGGTGGTCTAGCGAGTGTTCGGTTTCCTCGTCCAACACACTCTTCCCTTCGGGGAGGCTTACCTGCCCTCCCTTGCCCGGGTCTGGACAGGGGGGGCGGAGGGGTTGGAGCGCCCAAGATGGCCCAAGATGGCTCCAAGAGGGCCTTCAACGCTCCAAAATGAGCCTCCAAAACGGCCCGGAAAGACGAAGATGGGTCAAGATAGAGTCCGACGTACCTCCAAAAGGCCCGACGAGTTCCAAATTCTCTCGTGCTAACGGCTTTCTGTCAGCATCCGCATCAGCATCAGCATCAGCATCAGCATCAGCATCAGCAGCAGCAGCAGCAGCAGCATCATCATCATCATCATCATCATCATCATCATCATCATCATCATCATCATCATCATCATCATCATCATCATCATCATCATCATCATCATCATCATCATCATCATCATCATCATCATCATCATCATCATCATCATCATCATCATCATCATCATCATCATCATCATCATCATCATCATCATCATCATCATCATCATCATCATCATCATCATCATCATCATCATCATCATGATCATCACATCATCATCATCATCATCATCATCATGATCACCACCACCACCACCACCATCATCATCATCATCATCATCATCATCATCACATCATCATCATCATCATCATCATCATCATCATCATCATCATCATAATTATCAGCATCATCACTATCATCACCACCACCACCACCACAACCACCATCATCATCATCATCATCATCATCATCATCATCATCATCATCATCATCATCTTCATCGTCATCATCATCATGACCACCACCATCATCATCATCATCATCATCATCATCAGCAGCATTATCATCATCATCATCATCATCATCATCATCATCATCATCATTACCACAATCATCATCAGCATCATCATCATCATCATGAG